ACCAACACCACCAACACCAAAACCAACAATAATAATAACAATAATAAATAACAATAATAATATGTAATTTGTAATATTATTAACTTCTTTAGTTTAGGGTCCAGATATGTCAGAAGCTTATCACCTGGTTCCCGTACAATTGATATATTATTCAAACAATTTTGCCATATAAAACATTTTAACAACAAATTAATACAAATATTTTACACGGAGTGAAAAATTTAACACCAGTTTGTGTATATATTCATATATAAAGTTTTATTTCTGAATCTCTATCATGTTTCTGCTCACACTGTTGTTGATTGCCAATCCGATCCAATATTTTACATATTTTATATTTGTACTTAACATTGTTATTTGTATACGATGCAAATTAATACATACTCGCAACACATTTTGCAATAACAGTAGATCGTATTAGTTTGGTAAACACATTATAAACATTCTTAATTTCACAGAAAATAATAATAATAATAATAATAATAATAATAATAATAATAATAATAATAATAATAATAAATATAAAAATAAAAAGAAGAGGAGAAAAGGAGAAAAACCGTCTGAAATGCAGGAGTTTCAATTTATCAATTGATCAAAGGTTCCGGGTGCGTCAGCTACCGAGGTCATTAGTCCCATAATTGTTGTGATAGTTTTGTCACGGGATGAGGCAATGATGTTCCGCCTACGTCGCCTTACGGAGCGTTTCCCTAACCAGGTATCTCCCACTGGCGTGTCACCGCCCCGGCCAGGATAAGCTCTATGCTCCTGAATGGTCTCTCGGCATATGTGGTAGAGTAGAGCAATTTTTATTTTAAAAACATGGAGACATTTTACGCTAAAAGAGGCTAGATTGATTTTGGGCTCGTACCATTCATATTCAGAGCTAAAATATTTTACTTCTCTGTCAAAGATTGTGCTTCTATCCCATAAGTCACATAGTTAATAACTGTTTTGGACGTGGAGTAAATAAATGATACTAGCAAATTTTAAATGCACTATCAGAAAAAAATGTAAGAATTTACGAGGTTATATTTTTTTAGAATAAAGAGTCATGTTGATTTCAAAATAATAAATATAAGAGTTATTTATATTTATTGCACGAAAATGTATGAATTGAACAGACGTTAATCTTTGAATATCATTTTTTCAGATCCTAATCATCGGCGGAGGAATTGCCAATTTCACGAACGTAGCACACACGTTCAAGGGCATCATCTCCGCCCTTAAAGAGTACCAGGCGAAACTTGCGGAGAACAAGGTGTCCATATTCGTGCGTCGTGGAGGGCCCAATTATCAGGAGGGCTTGAGGTGAATAACGTGAGGAACTACGCCAATACGTAACTTTAATCTTTAATTCGGTTTGACGCAGGTAAAAGATACTGTACTGTGACGCAGTTGCCTAGTTTTGAAATGTTCAGGTTAAATATGTTTTTGTAAAGAGGCATGTGAACAATATTTTTTTCTTTGCTATTAACTTCGTCTCTGCCTTCTTAACACAGTTTGCAATACCGTCGGGAAGACTAATGAAATTGGGGCTTGAGTACTAAAACTTTATATTTTAGAAAAAAACTACAAATATTCAGTGTCCTTCACATCTGCTGAACAGAACTGGATTAATAAATCTCATGAACACTAAAATATAATGAACCATGTATCTAAACTGCAAGTGGAAACTACTTAATGGAAACTGTGTTACTTTTATCTCATTAATGAATTCCATTAAAAAGTGAACTCCTGTCACGAGACAAGGAATATTAACACTAAACAGTATGAGCCAATGTACTTTGGCACAACAGTTACGAGCTAAGACCTACCGGCCTTCCAACCAAGGGTTAAGAGGTACGTGTAGCTATCACATAATTACCCCTATGTTGTATTTGTGGTACTCTCAAGCTGAGAAGTAGGCGTTAGCATCGTCACGCATCAGCATATACTGCGGCATTGCAAGGATAACGCAATGGAAGGGAGTTAATTTTGGGCCCGACCGGGAATCGAACCCGGTGTTGCGCCGTGGAAGGGGAGCATGCTAAGCAACGAACCACCGAGCCCCCCTCCCCCCACCAGCACTAAACAGTACCAGTTTAATATCGAAAAGATCACTTCTCACATTTTCCTTTTGTTCTAGTTCAGTCATCATCATAACCACTGAGCATTTACCGTGGATATATTTCCATTAGTAATATTCCGATGTCCCCCCCTCAGTATTTGTCACAGTTCTTTTGCACCCTCATGCACGTTCATCAGCCTCCCATTCATTAATTCAATATAATAATAATAATAATAATAATAATAATAATAATAATTATTATTATTATTATTATTATTATTATTATTATTATTATTATTATTATTATTATTATTATTATTATTATGCCGTTTGGGCGTGCTGTCTCATGCCGGGAGACCGGTCGGGAACTTTGAACGTGTCCCGCCTGGGGTGGTGCCTGATTCCGAGATACATGATAGGTGAAACCGCGCTAGCCGACAGAAGGTCGGCGCCGGATCTCGCCAATCAGCGAGGGAAATATCACCGCCAGATCTCGAGCAAAAACATGCACTACCCTTACGGAACTAACGACTCTGTATGTAGTTGACCCGGAATCACTAAAACTTTGTACCTTTGAGGTTATGGGTTCTTTAGTGGCTAGTACATAGACAGCCGCCTGTTACTCACAAACACTTAGCGACACTTAGAACTCTTTTAGAGTCCGGGAAATGTAGCTCAGAGTCACTGATTTCACTTCAACTGACTCGTAGCTTCCCTTGATAATTACGAATTTTAATAGCTCCGTGTAAATTAATAGTTCCACTGACGCGAAGAAAACTTACGTCACCGCTGTGCCTGACTGGGAGGTCAGCAGTCAATCAACTGGGCGTGCTGTGTGCCTCGCAGGAAGATGCGCGCCCTGGGCAAGGACCTGGGCGTGCCGCTGCACGTGTTCGGGCCCGAGACGCACATGACGGCCATCGTGGGCATGGCCTTGGGCAAGGCGCCCGTCACCCAACCGCCCACCGACTCCACCAAGGACGACTTCTTCTCCTCCTCCGGCGCGGAGGTAACCGTTCCCGCTTTACTTCGAAAGAAGATAAACTTTTGGGATAGTTCTTATTTTACGGTACGGCTCTCGTTCACTGGGAATTGTTCGTTGAGTTCGATTCTAAACAAAGATTGTGGTCTACTTTCTTCACAACATGTTTGCATCTAATTCGTATGACTCTCGTTCACTGTGAATTGTTTGTTAGATTCGATTCCGAACAAAGATTGTGTAGTCTTCTTTCGTCACAACGTGTTCGCAACTAGTTCTTATTTTATGGTATGACTCTCGTTCACTGTGAATTGTTTGTTAGATTCGATACTAAACAAAGATTGTAGTCTTCTTTCTTCACAACGTGTTTGCAACTAATTCTTATTTTATGGTACGACTCTCGTTCACTGGGAATTGTTCGTTGAATTCGATTCTAAACAAAGATTGTGTATTCTTCTTTCTTAACGTGTTTGCAACTAATCCTAATTTTACGGTACGAATCTTTTTCACTGTGAGTTGCTTGTTGGATTCGATTCCGAACAAAGGTTGTAGTCTCCTTTCTAAAAAAACGTGATCACTACTAATTCTTATTTTATAGTACGGCTCTCGTTCACTGGGAATTGTTCGTGGAATTCGATTTTAAACAAAGATTGTGTGCTCTTCTTTCTTCACAACGTGATGGCAACTAATTCTTATTTTTCGGTACTATTCACTGTGAATTGTTTGTTAGATTCGATTCCGAACAAAAATTGTAGTATCCTTTCTTCACGTGTTCGCAACTAATTATTATTTTATGTACGACTCTCGTTCACTGTGAATTGTTTGTTAGATTCGATTCTTTTACGTTAAACTGTTAACATATTACAAATTAATTCTTGAAACACATGTGACCATATGAGCATACAGTTCTGAACATAATATTTCTAATATACAAAATACATTGGAGGTACAATTTTAAAATGTTAAAATTTAATTTTCGACTCTTAATGAGAACTATAAAATATTTTTTTAGTCTTCAAGAATAAGTTAACTTGTGGAAAAAATTTTGCTTCGCCTATCTTTAAAAATATTTATCACTGAAATTACTCAGATTAAAAGTCTCTCAAATCACTTAAGTCACAATGGTACAATACACGCTACATGACAGGTACGAGTATGTGGACCAAATAGTGGGCCACAATAGGAAACCAGATTCTTATATGTTGTAATAAAATGTTACAGCATATGCCACAATTATATTAGAATATACTTTGTATTGGCGAGACGAACATTGTAGAGGGCTGAATGTGTCCCGCGGGCCGTAGTTTGGAGACTCCTGGAGTAGCGCCAACCCTGTTGATACGTTTACTCCTTCAATCCTTCACCCTCCTCCAACAATTGATTCTTCCTGTGCAGGTATGCGACCGTGACAGCCAGCCGGCAAAGACAGGCAAAGCAGAGGACAAAAAGGAGACAAAGAAAGAGAAGGAGAAGATTTCGGCAGACCCGTGCGCCGACGCTACGAAGACTTCGGGGAAAGCTGAAAAAAAGGATAACAAGCAGGTAGACCCGTGCGCAGACGCTACGAAGTCTTTGGAGAAAGATGACAAAAAGGATAAGAAGAAGGTAGACCCGTGCGCAGACGCTACAAAGGAAGGAAGAAGGGATAAGAAGAAGGAGGTTCCGGGAGACGCGTGTGCGGACGCTACAAAGCCTTTGAAGAAGGAAGAGAAACCGGAGGAGAAGAAGAAGGATGAGAAGGAGAAGAAGGAGGATAAGAAAAAGGAGCCTGTGAAGGCGTGCAAAGAAGAGAAAAAAGAGCCCAAAAAGGTGAACCCGCCGCCTTCTGGGAAGCAAGCTGCGGCATCCCCCAAACAAGGGGCCCCGCTCTTCTCAGCCAACACCAAGGCCATCGTGTGGGGCATGCAAACCCGAGCCATCCAGGTAGGCAGACCAATCAAACGCGCCAGACGCGGTGGCACCGCTATGACTCTTTTCACTTCAACTGACTCGTAGTTTCCCTTGATGTTTTAGATTTTAATAGCTCCATGTCAATTAATAGGTATTAGTGAAATATGAATCTTAAGACATCCTACTGAACTTATCGTGTGGGGCTTCTAAACCCGCACCATCCAGGTGGGCAGACCAGTAAAACGCGCCAGACGCAGTGGCGTCTCCGTTACTCTGCGGGCCAGAAAAAAATAATTCTATCTTAGTTACAGCGGTAGATTTCGTGATTTCACTTCAACGAACTCGTAGTTCTCCGAGATAATTAATTTTTTGACAGCTCTATGTCAATTAATAGTTATTAATGAAATAAGAATCTTAAGGCGTCCTATTTCATTCATTGTGTGGGGCATGCAAACCCGCATTCTGATTGCAATTCAACGTACTTTTAGTTCTCTGAGATAATTTAGATTTTATTAGCTCCATGTCAATTCCACAAATACAAAGAAATGTTCACAGACCCAAATATTTGATAGATGTTCTTCTATGTATTTTTTCGCGCTGAATCCGTATTTGAAGCCAAAATTGTGCAAGCACTCTCCAGGTTTTCTTTTCATTGCAATAAACAACCGTGACATTGTGTTTTTTGTTTTCGGGAGCTTTTGTCATACCTAAAAGCTTGACACATATTTCTCTATGTCTATCAACGCACTGTAGTCGAATATTAATCCAAAATTGTGGCATCAATTTCCACTATTTATAAATCGCGAAAAAACTCATAAAATAGTAAATAGTAAATTTCGCGGTGTTTTCTTTTGCCATTTAAATAAAACTGGATATACATAGATGTACATAGAGAAACTTGACAAAACTCTCAAAATAAACGAAGCATTGACACCATTACAAGGTACGAGAAAGGGAAGAACATTAAGAGTGAGAGATTAAAAATACCGTTAGATGAAAAGCGACAAAAACTGAATGATTCTCGAGAGTTCTCCAAAAAATATTAGTAGTAATACAACACGGATAATTTATCAACTTAAAAATAAACGGAAAGAAAAGAACTACGCAAAGCTACCACGCGAAAACATATTTATCTGACTTAAACTTAATTAAAAACGTATTTAAGAATATCTATATTACTGTTGACATGTGTGATGTGTGAAGGTGTAATCTGCTATCATGTCTTCCAGGGCATGATGGACTTCGACTTCGTATGTTGTCGGAAAGAGCCATCTGTTGCTTGCGTCATCAATCCATTTGGAGGAAGTGGCAAAAGGAAATTCTATTGGGGTGGGAAAGAGATTATGATACCTGGTAAGCAATACATCAGTCGTTTCATGTAAGGCGCACCTTTCGTACCTCTACTCTATGAATAAATCATAATTTTAGAAGCTATACGGAAGTATTTGAACTTTAGAGATCCACATGAGTACATACAAATATTTATCGATTTGATACCTGTGAGGTATGGTCCTTGGGCATCAGTTATACACGATATCACATTCAAAGTTGAGCAATATTTTAAAAAACGCTATAATGTTATTAACCGTAATATGGTTGACTCCGAAAGTTCAGCACTGTCAACTGCGCGCGCACGCCACGCCACTGGTGCTTCCATTACTAATACCACTACTCTTTCTACCACAACTACTACTATACAACGACTACACCACAACGACTACTACCCCACCACGAGCACACCACCACAGCTAGGCCACTCCGAACACGGACGACCCCGGGACCACCACCACCATGACCACCACCACCATAACCACCACGACCACCACATCACGACCACTTACCATCACGACATCACCGACCCCGACCATCACCTCTACAACCATCACCAACCACAACCATCACCACTACGACCACCGCCTCCACCATCTTTCTAATCTTTACTTCCATGGTGCGCCTTACATTAGAAACTATACGGAACTTTTTTCTTACGCGATTTTATTATTTTGTTTTAAATATTTTATTTGGAAATCTAGTTTTCAAGAAATTAGAAGACGCAATTAAAAACCATCCGGACGCTGATGTGATGGTTAACTTCACCTCCTTTCGATCAGCTTATGATTCCACTATTGAAACAATGAAATATCCGCAGGTGAGTTCTGTAAAGGTATGAAAGCAGTGTATATTCTAGATAATAACGTACAATTATAGAAAACGTCTGCCTAAATTAAACAGAAAATTCTCAACAACTTGGTACGTTATGCATGTTTTCGAGCAAAAATGATATGGCAATAATGTAATACTTCAACTCCTGCACTGCGGGCATTCGTAACTTACTTGTCCGGCCGAATATGATGTTTTTTTGAAATGCAGTTTCTGATCCGATTCGTTCACGTACACGGCCGATTCCGAGAATGAGTCACTCGCTACAGGGTGCACGGCCGACGCACTTCCCCTTCGGTGACGCTTCGGTACGCAGTTCCAAGTTGAGGACGAAGATGGACCTTGAATAGGTCTTCGACCCTCACATTTACATGTTACGGCCCTCACACTGCAAGATGCGTAACAATTGCATACAATAACTACAACCTGTTGATAATATTTGTTCTTCAAATATTTAGCTCTGAGGATGATCGCTATGCGATCGAAACTATCATAAGCTGAATAAAAAGTATTATTACCTGACAACATCTTTATTTATTTATCATAAGAGACCTGAGTTGTGTGTCCAGTTGAAACTAAGGAACCATACATTTCTATCCCCTACATGTTATGATAAACATTTTCATGACTTACGTTACATGACTTAACTTTCATAAGTTAGCAATGTTTACAATGCACCAATGAAAATATGACATGTCAGTAGAATCCGAGTCTGTTTGTCACCCGTGTATTGCGTTCTCATCTTCCGTCTCCATTGTCGAATAATTTAAACTGTTGGGGTTGATTATCATTTAATTATCCTACAGAAACAATTAAGAGTTCTGAGTTGTATGTGCTGTTGAAACTAAGGAACCATACATTTCTATCTCCTCCATGCCATGATAAACATATTCATGACTTAAGTTACATGACCTAACTTTTATAAGTTCGCAATGTTTACAATGCACCAATGAAAATATGACGTCAGTACAATCCGAGCCCTTTTGGTCAACCATGTATTGCGTTCTCATATTTTGCCTCATTCATCATTTAATCAACTCTCGCCTCAACTTTCTTATCATTTAATTATCCTACAGTACAACCAAGAGCTGTGCTTGGCGTGTCCTGTTGACGTTCGTCAGCCTCGTGTCTTGTGTGAAGATCCGCACGATCGCCATCATCGCAGAGGGCATCCCGGAGAACCTGACGCGCCGCCTCATCGTGGAGGCGGAGCGCAGGGGCGTCGCCATCGTAGGGCCGGCCACGGTGGGCGGCGTGCGCGCCGGCTGCTTCAAGATCGGCAACACGGGCGGCATGATGGACAACATCCTGCAGGCCAAGCTCTACCGCAAGGGCAGGTAAACATCGATGTTTTTGTAGAAGTATCGATGTTTTAACATCGAATTTTTGACATCAGATGTTTTGACATTACTACCGCAAGGCAGGTGCGCGGCGCGCGGCCAAGGCGAGGAAAGCGACACTGCGGCGCGTCTGACCACGGTGGAGCGGATCGTGAAATCTGAGACTGGAAGGAATGCAACATCGATGTTTTCAAAACATCGATGTTGTAAACATTGATGTTTTCAAAATATTGATGTTTTAAACATTGATGTTTAAAAACATCGATGTTTTTGTAAAAATATCGATGTTTTAAACATCTATGTTTTTGTAGAAATATCGATGTTTTAAGCATCAATGATTTTGTAGAAATATCCATGTTTTAAACATCGATGTTTATGTAGAAATATCCACGTTTTCAACATCGTGTTTTGTAGAAATATCGATGTTTTAAACATCGATGTTTTAACATCGAGATGTTTTGACATCGATGTTTTGTGATCGATGTTTTTTTTCCTTTTTCGATGTGTTGTTTCGGAATGAAAAATCCCATGATCCCAATACTGTAAAAGTTAAAATACGAAAAAATAACTGATAGTTAAACTTAGAACCAAAGGAACCTATTTACGCTACCTTCATCGACCAAATTCTCTCGTCCGAGATGATCTTCACGCTCTTGTATTCTCTCATTCTTCATATTTATTTTACACGTTGAGATGTGGTCAACAAATACGCTGTGGGAGTAGGGTCAGCCACTTCTTCTCGTACCTTTATTCAGCAAATTGATAATAATGAACACTCTCAAATTTAATTTTAATGCACACGGACTTAAAGTTAGAAGTTATTAATACAGTATAAAATAATCGATTTTGAAAACATCGATGGATTTTTAGTCAATTACTTCAATGTTTTAATTTTGAACATCGATGTTTTGTTATCGATGTCGCATCAGTAGTAGTTAGGTCGAATCAGACGTTGTATGAAGGAAATATTACTGCACGGCTGCTCTGATCGGTTGTTTTTCAGTGCTTTAGCTAATCAACTCCACGCAATTGCAGGGGTATAGTACTCACAAATGGGCCAATGACTGTTTAAGCGACACTACTACGCATGTCGAGAATCCAGTGGAATGCGGGTAAATTGTCCAGACTAGGCGACACCAGATCTTACTTCACAACAAGGGAGAAACATTGCCACATCCCGGAATTAAACATACACTACTTTTACGGAACTATTGATATCGATAGTTGATTGATCAATTGATTTTTTGGGGTTTAACGGACCCTTCCCCTACTATGTTCATTATTCCCATAATTATTGTGCATGCTGGATCTCAGGAAGAGATAGAGTTCCTTCCCGGCTAAGATATGGGATTTAGTGCCAACATAAACTTCGAATTGCGGAGGTTTCCCCACCCAGTTATCATCGCCAACGGGACGCTGCCTCAATCCACGCAAGCTCAAACCTCCAGACTGATTTTGGTTTGTGGTTGCCGGGAGGTGAATACAAGTGTGCGTGAGTGTGTGAAAGAATCTCAGCATGTGAGACTCCCAGTACCAATACTCAGTGATCGAATTTATCGAAATGTAGAATCTCAATGTCTCAAACTATCGACTCACTTATAGTTAGTTATGATTATAGTATATTTTTATTGGCAGTAAAACATTTGTTTACGGATCCAAACACACACTATGATAAATTAAAATTGAAAGGAGAATAAGAACTGTGAGAATAAAATAACAATAAATTATATAGTGAATACGAAAAGAACAAAACCATGTTTACATATAAAATACACATAACAATGCTATTTTTTATTTAAAACAATAATATTTACAGCAATTAGGATATTAGTTCTATCCAAAACCGATAGCAAAGAGCAAATAGTAAATCCCGCTGTCCCATGTTAGTAGATTTACTGGCATGTTAAAGATCCTCAAACCTAAATGACGCCTGTGAGCTAAATTGAAAATCGCCTGTTTCTCGCCCAAGAAATACCCCCTTTCTCTGCTAGTTGGTGAAAGGAGCGTAGCGAAATTCGCGTGGTCAGACGGAAGAGCAGGCCTCATGGCTTGAGTTTTGCTACGTAAAATAAGGCATCAATTCAATTCAATTCAAATAGAAAAGAACCATGCTTATAAAATTTGCGCAACCTGAAAATCGTTTCTTTCAGTCCTACGAAAAAGTGCCCTGCCAAGAGACGATTCCCCCACGTACTTGTTGGTCGCCTGTTGCACGGTGCAGCGTGGGGTACGTGTCGCGTTCGGGCGGGCTGTCCAACGAGCTGAACAACATCATCTCCAAGACGACCAACGGCGTGCTGGAGGGCGTGCATCGGCGGCGACCGCTACCCGGTCACCACCTTCCTCTTCCACCTCTGCGCCTGCACGCCGAACCCGAGTGAGGCCATCCACGGAGGGAGGAACGTCGCTATATATATATATATATAATAATATATATAATATATAATAATATATATATATAATAACTGACCACTTGAGGTCGTTCCACTTCACTTTACTGCTTCATGATCGATGTCAAGGTTACCACCTTAGGTGAGGATAAATCCTCGAGTTACAATTCTGAATGTTATCAGAAGGTGCATAATGAGAGATGGAAGGATGATGATGATACGAGTGAAAGACGAACACAATACAAACCAGCCCCGAGCGGACTCAAACCCGCGATCTTCCGTACGAGATCGCTACGCCACTACTGCCTTAGCGATCTCGGCCACCGGATCGGCTTAATAGTATATATATATATATATATATATATATATATATATATATATATATATTATATATATATGGAAAGAAGATGTAAGGCATGGGAATAACCAATTGGTTTATATTTTTATATACCTTGATGATTGCCAGACGATCAAGTGGCTTAACCCAGTGATGAGGTGATATCACTACATGACTCGAAAATTAATTGAAGTATATGAAAAGTGAGGACTTGACATTAACATATCAAACACAAAATGTATGGTACTGGGAGGCAATGGCCAGGACCTGTTAATGCATAGGGGCCTAATTAAATGTGGAAACGAATGTAACTATGTGGGTGTAACTTTAACAAGTGATGGTCATGGTAGTAAAGATCTTCTGAACAAAACAAATAGATGCAGGCAAGTTATAATATCTTTACATCCATGGAATTCCAGCTTAAAATTAAACACAAAAAATACACTATGTAAAACAATTGTTGAAAGTCTTTTCAAATATGGAGCTGCGTTATGGACTATTATTACCAGGGGTAGAAGTAGGATCCAAAGAACATAATTGGAAAATTAGTGTTGTCAGGTTATAAGAAAGAAAATAATTAGAAATCAAAGAATAATAGAAATAATGAAACCTGGAAAATCAACCGTAGAGCTGATAGAAACAAAGGTACTATTATGGTATGGGAATTTAAGAAGTGTGGACAATGAGCGACTGCCAAAGATGAATGAATCCTGAAGAAAGAAGATATAGAGGAAGACCAAGAAGGAAGTGGGAGGAAGACGTAAGATAAATGATGGCAGCGCGATATTTAGACGATGATGCCTGGGGAGATCGAAAGAAATGGAGATTAGGCAGCGAGAAACGGCGACAGCTGTAGAATACTCGCTTTATACGTTTCGATGTATTTTAAGCGCGTACGCGAAAACAGAAAAATTCGGACAGTTTTCTAAAACTCCGCCATCTCACTATACTTGAAGTTTTGTAACATGGCACGTCACGGCTGTCGTAGGTCGTATTCGCATGATCGCGACGATACCAAGAAGAACGATGTGTAGCGGTACGATCGCGAACGCGCATGGGAAAATAGTTATTATACGTCGGGTTTCGCAACGTGGCGCGTCAGGGGTTGTTTTCACCGTGGAGTATCTAACGGCATTTCGCCCGTCTTTCTCGTTCGCGCCGCTAGACGTCGCATGATCGCGACGGTATCAAGCAGTGCGATGTGTTTAGCGGCACGGCCGAGAAAGACGCGAACTGCCGTGAGATATTCCATTACGAACGCCAATTGCGGACCATATCCTAGAAATCGATGGAAAATTTCCGTTTCTACATAGGAGGGGCTCGCACCGAAACGACCCACAACAGATTTCTTAGACGACCCATAGTTCTATTTATCGTGTATTAGTTTATTCGTATTTATAAATAACAAGAATAAATATATTGTTTATATTATGATTAGAACACGGATTTTACAAACCATCTCAGGGACATGCCCAACGTAGGACGAAATATAAATGGTTGTATTTATATTGGAGCTATACACAAACGTCTCAATTTCTTTTCTGTACGTTTTGTGTACTGTTGTGTGTGTTTGTTGTGCGTTTATGTTTGTGTTTGTATTGCCTTATTGTTCGTGTCTGACGTGCATTGTTGCGAAGCCACGTTGCAGACGCGCATGTGCTGTTCGCGCTTGTGCATTGTTGTATTTTGTAACGAAATGGCGTAGTAACAGTGTCCATGTTTATTGTGTCGCAATGGAAGAGCAGTGGTGCTTGCGTTGTGTGTGCTGGTTGTGCTTCATTGTTTGAGTATGTGTGCGCAGGTGAAGATGCTGGTGCTGCTGGGGGAGGTGGGCGGCGAGGAGGAATACGAGGTGTGCAAGGCCATCCAAGACGGACGCATCCAGAAACCCCTCATCGCCTGGTGCATCGGCACCTGCGCCAGTGAGTATCCACACTTTGTACGGGGCATGATTGGCGACATCAATGTCGATGTTTCCTAATAACACAGCCACGCAAAAATATTGTGTTCATGTTTGGGAACCATAAAACGTTTTCTATATGTCTGGGGTTTCCAAATCCGAAAACAGTGTCCATTTTGAGAGCGTAGGCTTCGACCGGAGTCAGTATTTACTTGGCTGTCCGGGTGACGCCGCGTCCATAGCTAAGGCGCCGACGTTTCGGTCGCCATCAACGCATTATGCCTGGGGGAAGGTCGCATAATGGCGACCGAAACGTCGGCACCTTATCCATGGACGAGGAGTCACCCGGACAGCCAAGTAAATACGGGGTCCATTTTACTCTATCACATCAGATGTTTCACATAACCTCAAACAATGTTTAAAGAATGGTCTCCCTATAGAGATGGCTAGTGATTTGGCGCCAACGATATAGGCAATCTGCCACCAACGTGATCGAGTGTTGTCCCGTCAGGGGCCATTCCTCCTCCTTCTCTATCAATTATAATTGATCTGAATTAAAAAAAATCTGATGTGGTGAAGTGAAATAGACCTCATATGTAGTTTCAGCGCCCCAAAAACATATAGGTAACATGGCGTGACCTCTCGGTTAGAAATATCCTTCATTTGTTATTTTTTGCGGTTATGTCAAATAACCTGATGCGATGGAGTAAAATGGACACAGGATTCGGATTTGGTGATTCCATAAACATATAGAAAGCGTAGTGTGATCCCCAGACACCAACAACATTTTTTGTGTGGTTATGTAATCGATGTTTTAACCCTTCGTTTGTTACCCTATTACTTACGTGAATTCTGTTTGGGGTCAGGCTTGACGCTCCACATTTTTTACTATAGTTGACAAATATTAGCATCAATTCTAATTGTAAACGTCGATGTTTTGTTATCGATGTCGAATATCTAGTAAAGGGTAACGAATTTAAACGAATGAGTGTTACGAACTTCTAGAAAGTACCGTAGAAGGATCAATGATCACCTCATGTGATATATGGTACGAAGTTTCATGTAGAGAAGTTACATATATGATTGTTCCTCTGCTAGGTAGGCAACTACAGGTTCTAGGCTACTAGGTGTTCTCCAGGTGTAAGAAATCACCTTGGTAGTTTCAGAGCGCGTTGCGCTAAACACGAACGCATGGCGTTTTGCCTACGAGCCAGGGGTAAGCATCACATCCACACGTTTCTGAATTATTTTTTTAACCTTTTTTAAGGTAGCTTTTCAACTTCTACGGTCATATAGCGATCACTGTAAGTAACATGGGGGTAACGGTAACGTTAAGCGGTCACACCCAATAATCCATGCCCCGAGGGTGATTCGAATCCACGACCCTTCACGCACGAGGTAGCTACGGCTCTTCAGCCACAGCAACCTAGGCCATCGTGGGCTTGTGACTCAAAAAAAGTATAAATTTGAGATCTCAAGATAAATTGGTTGAACAATATAATTTGTATGTTGGAACAACTCTTTATCTCTGACAGATCAATTGCCTTTAGATATCAAATGCATTCTCATTTCATGTATAAAGTATAACATTAATTTCTGTGAAATAATGTTGCTCAGAAATTTGGTGTTTTTAGAAGTCCATGATCAGAAACGTAAAAAAACAAGAGACACAAACAACATTTTGAAATCTATTAGTTATAATCCAAAGCAAAAGAAGTTGCGTGGAAAAATAAATCGCGCTATCCTGTACACAACAGCGGTTTTATGTAACAACACAATCCCGGACAAACGATGATGGATTTACTTCGCTATATTAAGTTTCTCTCCACGCGTTCACTGGTCAGAAGGAAACATTTTCGTCTTCTCTACTCCCCTTAGATCTTTGTAACATTTATTCTGAGATATCGGCAACGAAGTTATGTATGTATGTACGTATGCATTGATGTTCAGTGCTTATGTGAAATTTCCTTGATTGCCGCAGAATAGCTCGTACCATCCATATGTGCGTAGTGAGTTGCCCAAAAATCAGGAGCAAATGCCACGTGTTTAAATGCATATAACACCGTTTCATGCAATTTACCACGGACTGTTTATTGACAAAAAGTGATCATTTTCAACTCATCCACATTTAAGAAGTTTGTAACATTTGTCCCGAAACATTGGTTTTGAGCATGCTAGCAGAGATGTTTGGCGGGTACATTAAATTTTTTCTTGACTGTGACAACAACCTGACGTAAATATTTGCATTAGGAATTGCGTCAATTTAGATACAAAGGCCACATCTTTAAATACATACACTCTATCACCGATTTATGCAATTTCCCACAACACGATATTTAGCCACAAGCGATCAATTTTCACCCTTCTACACGCCCTAACAGTTAGTAACATTGGTTTCAAAACAATTGAATGGAGACTGTTAGCATTGATATTTGTCGGGAAGGTGAAATTTCCTTGACTGCGTATAATTGCACGTCGGAGGAGTCTTCCAACAATCAATGGAAAATGTACATATATAAAAGTAGGTTACACCTTTGTATGTATATATGTGTGTATATATACAGACAGAGAGAGAAAGAGAGAGAGAGAGAGAAAGAGAGAGAAAGAGAGAGATAGAAAGAGGGAGAGAGAAAGAAAGATGAGGGAGACGGAGAGGGGGAGAGAGGGAGAGGGGGAGAGAGGAAGAGAGGGAGAGGGAGAGAGAGAATGAGAGAGGGATAGCACAAGGAGAGAGGGAAAGAGAATGAGAGAGAGAATGAGAGAGAGGGAGAATGAGAGAGAGAGAATGAGAGAGAGGGAGAATGAGAGAGAGAATGAGAAATAGAGAGAGAGATTTATTCTCGATTTATATTTTGACGATTATAATAATTTTGAGGTAGGCAGCTACCTTAAGAACTATTTAGCCTCATTAGTCCCGAGACGTGAGCGTTGCGGTTGCGTGGCAGAGATGTTCACGTCGGACGTGCAGTTCGGGCACGCGGGCGCGTTCGCGGCGTCGGACCGTGAGACGGCGACGGCCAGAGAGTCAGTGAGACAGAAAGAGACAGAGAGAGACAGAGAGAGAGACAGACAGAGACAGACAGAGAGACAGAAAAAGACAGAGAGACAGAGAGAGAAAGAGACAGAGAGAGATTGAATCTCGATTTATATTTAAACGATTATAATAATTTTGAGGAAGACAGCTACCTTAAGGATTATTTAGCCACGTCAGTGAGCGTTGCGGTGGCGTGGCAGAGATGTTAACGCCGGACGTGCAGTTCGGGCACGCGGGGGCGTTCGCGGCTTCGGACCGTGAGACGGCGACGGCCAGAGAGTCAGAGAGACAGAAAGAGACAGAGAGAGACAGAAAAAGACAGAGAGACAGACAGAGACAGAGAGACAGAAAGAGACAGAGAGAGAAAGAGACAGAAAGAGATTGAATCTCGATTTATATTTAAACTATTATAATAATTTTGAGGTAGACAGCTACCTTAAGAACTATTTAGCCACGTCAGTGAGCGTTGCGGTGGCGTGGCAGAGATGTTCACGTCGGACGTGCAGTTCGGGCACGCGGGCGCGTTCGCGGCGTCGGACCGTGAGACGGCCACGGCGAAGAACGAGGCGCTGCGCGCGTGCGGCGCCCACGTGCCGGCCTCCTTCGACGCCCTCGGCGACGCGCTGCGCGAGGTGTACGACACGCTCGTGCAGGGCGGCATCGTCGTGCCGGCGCCCGAGGTGCGCCCGCCCCACGTGCCCCTGGACTTCGATTGGGCCAAGGTACGCTACGAGCGATTGATCAGTACGAGACCGTACGGTTTCACGGTTGACTACCGGTGACTACCGGTTTACCGTAAGACCGTATGGTCTCATACTAACGTTTCCTCATTAGCGTCGTACAAAGCTAACCTGTAAAATCCAAAATATAAGCACATCTATTTAGTAATTGCTGAATACGTGCGCCTGGACTTCGCCTGGGCCACGGTACGCTTTCGCGGTTGATGAGTACGAGACCGTACGGTTTCGCGGTTGATTATTTACCGTAAGACCGTATGGTCTCATAGTAACATTTTTTCATGCGCAGAGTTCAAAGCTAACCTTTAAAATTGTTGATAAAATCATAAGTATTTAGTAATTTCTGAAAACGTGTACTTCGGACTTCACCTGGGCCAAGGTACGCTACAAGCGATTCAAACAAAACGCATTGTAAGGTACGCTACAAACAAAAGCTTATTGGTTTTTGACGCGTTGACTGCAATGTGAGATAACGTGTGGCCTTGTGGCTTTAACGTAACGTTTCCTTGTAAGCGGAATACTAAGCTCCTTGATAAAATCATAAGTATTAAGTAATTTCTGAAAAAGGGCCTTTGGTTAAATTAAATTCGGCCGTGAGTATCCGAATTTGGTCTCTATTCAGTAACATTATCTTGTGTCAGTATGGCATGTCCGTGTTAAAGCTAACCTTTAATAGTTCCTAGCCTTATTATAGTTATTAGGCATCAACTATTTATGTAATTTCTGGAGAACGAGGGACTTTGGACTTTGCCTGGCCGAAGGTTTTGGACGGTCTATTCATTATAGGTGCATTTTTTGAGTTTTTAACATGTTGACTGCCATGGGTTTTTTGTAGACCTGTTTGTGGGATCTCACAGTTATTAGCTAAGCATATAATAAAAAAATTCCCAGGTGTGACCTGTTATATTGTCTTCAGCAGTTTAATACTGGGTATTGTTTCATATGCAGCGGTGCAAAGCTAACATCTTTTAAAATCCTAGCTAAAATATAGGGCAGCAACTGTTGTTAGTTATTATTGCATGGATTTAACGATGGGTTGGGGTATTTGGACTTGCCTAGGGCCTATTAGGTAGCGTTCTTACAATAGTCTATTGGGTTTTATTTTGTTGTTTAACATTTGACTGTCCATGTTTGAGATCCCCAGTTGTTGTACTCACAGTTATTGTCAGCATAGCCAAAAAGAATTCCCTGGTGGTGAGTTGGTCTTCACAGTAGGACGGTTTAATGTTTTCATATGCTTTAGCGTGCAAAGTTCTAATCCTTTAAAGTTTCCTAGGCTATTATCAATAGTTAGGCACAACTATTTAGTAAATTTGCTGGAAACGAGGACGTTGGAACTTTGCCTGGGCCAGGTCTACGCTACAGAACTATGGATTTTTAACTGTTGACTGCCTATGTGTATAGACTCTGGTGGACTCAACATGTTGTGCACTAAAAAAATAATTTCCCGTGGACCGTATGGTCTCACTTAGTAACGTATGTTCTATTGATGCTAAGCGTGCAAAGCTACTTTAAAGTGTCCTTAGCTAAAAGGGTATAAGGCTACAATCATTTGTAATTGCGGAACGAGGCTTGGGATTTTTGGCCTGGGCCAGAGGTATCGCGGAGCAATCATTTGGAGTTTTAATCGGATGTTGATCTGCTTCATTGTGAGAGCCTTTGTCTGTGGACTCACAGTTAGCAGCAAAAAAAATTGTTGTTCCCGTTGTGACGAGTAGTCTCACAGGAGCGTGAGTCTTTTTATGCAGCGTGCAAAGCTAACCTTAAAGTCCTAGCTAAAATATAGGCACAACTATTTTTAGTGATTGCCTGGAAAACGAGGACTTTGGATCTTTGCCTGGGCCAATGGTACGGCTACTAAATCAGATTGGAGTTTAACGATGTTGATCTGCCATGTGAGACGTGTGGACTCACAGTTAGCAGCAAAAAAAAATCACTGTGTGGCTGACTCGTATGGTGTGCTTGCACAGTAATCTTGTATTGGTCATGTTATTCTGGTTTGGCAATAGCTGATTATGCGCTTTTAAAGTTGCCTTATGCTAGAATATTTGTGAGCACAAACGTTGATTTTTTTATGTATTATTGTGTATAACGGGATGACTGTGGACTTCCTGGGTCCGAAGTAACTGCTATCATTGAATGTCTACATTTAACTTGTGAATGCTCATGTGGTGGTTTTTGACACGTTGAGTGCCACGGGTGGTTTTTTGTGTGATCAAGATGTTTTGCGACGTGTTTGACTATTTTCCCGTTGTTGAGACTTGAGACGGGACGCTCACATAAGCATAGTTTCTCATATGCAATCGTGCAAAGCTAACTTTAACTCTCTAGCGATAATCATGAGGACTATGTGTAG